TAAAGAATAAAAAAGACAACTTTTGAGTTCTGAACTTTCTTCAGATTAATTCTACATCCAGTACATCCAGATGTCTATATACTCATGTAAAAAACTTATCATGTAATCAAACATAGTTAATCCTGATACATCAAGCTCAGCTGATCGTTTATGAATGAATTTCACTGCAGATCACTCAACTGATGCTGCAAAAGTAGCAAATCTCCAAGTGTGTCTTCTTTCTTCCACTCTTCAGCCAATCTTTCACACTTCTGCATAAACACCTTTCTTTTCCAGGAAAGGAGTGTCTTTTTTGTCAGTGGAGCCTTATTAAACTATTCCCAAAAGGCATATTTCACATTGCTACCAAATAGGGAAGACTTAGGGGCAGGAGGCCCCGATTAACTATATATGAACTTCTTCTTATACAAACCAGAAGTTGCATTATTTCAATTAAAAAATTTTCCATCGAAAGGAGTCAGAAGATGACTGGCACAACTGTATTGCTAACAGAAAAGTATGATACACAGGGGCAATACACTACTAAAATCAAGAACATGTATTTTACATTAAATAAATTAAAAATTCCAGCCTGTCATTGTGAGTATGTCATAATAAATGACTGCTTGTATATTTAATAGAATATGTTAATAATGATAATAATTTAATATATTAAATAATATAAATAAATACTAATAATTATTTCACAATTAAAATATTCTAGCCATTCCTAAAATACTGTAAATTTTAAAACCAACTTTGTCATAAATGAGCTATTGTTAGATTAAAATTACGAAATAATGTTTATTTGAAAAAATGTTTTTTGATCAAATAAACATCATTGTTTATTTGATCATCAACTTGTTAATATTGTTAAAACAAGATCATCAGCTTGTTAATATTGATAAAATTAATATCGATAACTGTGTTGAATTATCTTTATTCTATCAAAAGTTATAGTTAAATAACCAAAAAAGCACAACTTCCTTAAGTAATATGATTTGAATTGACTTAACACCAAAGTGATCAATTAGCATAATTGTTCTGAGAATCAATTACATACTTTTTCAATTCAGCTTAGAACTAAAAAGTATTAGCTGTTTTACTGAGAGATAAATCATACCATCTTCCATTTATGTGAGTGATAAAGTTTGTTACTTTTTTTTGTTGTCCTGATAACTTAGTAAACTGAGAAATATAGCAAAAAGAGTTAACTGGTCACCTAGAAAATGAACTAAAATATTAACTTTACATGAAGATATCATAAGACAAGTTGGTGTAAATGTAACCAAAGGTTGTACACTAATATCCCGAACTTATGCGAAAGGTGGGACCGAGCGATAACCGCATAAGTCAAATTAGCGTAAGTCGGGGTATAATTTTGCAATTTGTGTAAAATCCAAGACAGATGTATGTAAGCTAATAAATGTTCTTGTTAATCTTATCTCGTCTTTTGATTCGTTACAAGAAATCACCACATAGAGTCTTTCAAGTCTCCGTAGATATAACAAACACAGAAATAAATAACACAAAATAAATTGTAGCTATGTGTCGATTCCGTGCGACACATCCGAACATGTAAGCTGAACAATAGTGTGGGGAGTGAGTAATCAAGAGTTGTGTGGTGCTCAAACAAAAGACGAATCGACGCGATTTGAAAATTGCATAACTCTGGGTTCGCATAAGTTGGGGTAGCGTAAGTCAAGGTATTATTATATTTCTAATTGGTGTATAAGATATATGAAGAATCAGTCAACTCCAAATCAAAATGCTAAAGACAGGAAAAAATGCACAGCAGCATGTAATGATAGAAAGAATTAAAAGACTGTTTAAGTGATCAGAAGAAAAACATCTGAATGAATTAAAATTGATTTCTCTCAATGTAATTTGAAGGTAATTGTTAGATACACAGACTGTTAGATACAGACTCAAAGAATTTGGTCTACCTGCAAGAATTCCATGAAAATTCTATCTCCCATTATCTCTCAAAGATTGAAAACATTTCAGTGAGCTAAAACCAATATTAATTGGACTGAGAAACAATGGGAAAGAGTCATGTGGAGTGAGGAGACCAGAATATCCATTTGGTATTAAATAGTAATGGAATAATGTAAGAAGAAGAATTGGAAATTTTTTATCTTGAATGCATTATAGCTATCATGAAGCATCTAGTTAGTATTACAGTGGTGCCTCGTATAATGTACTTAATCTGCAAAATATATATAAATGGTTTGCTGTATATTAGTTAATATGACGATTTTAGTCTCTGTAATCCAAAAATATTCTTGGTAGACAAATCTCACAGCAATCTTATTGGCAAATTAAATTTATTTTGTAAAGACTACATCAAATGCATTTCGGGCTGGTCTAATATTTTCCAGTCCCTCTTCAGTGCTAAAATAATAACAAAGAACGTAAAATGTTTAACTAAAACACGACATAGATGTATATCTACACCAAAATTATAAATTTTGGAGAAAAACTTACAATAACCGCTGGTGGTAATTACAACCAGTGGTTATTGTAAGTTTTTCTCCAAAATTTATAATTTTGGTGTAGATATACATCTATGTCGTGTTTTAGTTAAACATTTTACGTTCTTTGTTATTATTTTAGCACTGAAGAGGGACTGGAAAATATTAGACCAGCCCGAAATGCATTTGATGTAGTCTTTACAAAATAAATTTAATTTGCCAATAAGATTGCTGTGAGATTTGTCTACAAAGAATATTTTTGGATTACAGAGACTAAAATCGTCATATTAAGTACTTAATCTGTTCCAGGTGCATGTCTGTTAAGTGAAAAGTCTGTTATACAAAATGCATTTTCCCATAGAAATACATGTTAAAACATATAATTCGTTCCGCAGCATAAAATAACCATACTGTACCATAAAAAAAATGAAAATGGAGCAGTCACCAATTATGCCGGGTAGTCAGATGCTGTGAGGAGGAGGTGGAGGAACACTTTCTTCACACATTCATACAGATACACACTTTTTACACATTGCAGCAGGTCTCTTTTTATTGTTTTTTAATTGGAGTCAGATTCAGGAGAGGCTACTGGAGCTTGCAGGGTCAACTCCTCTTGTTCCACCCTTTGTTTTTTGCCTGCTGGCTTCTTGAAAAACATGTCCAAGGTGGTCTGTTTCTCTCTTTTCTTCAACACCTGTCGGAAATGACGGGCAAGGGTATCATTGTAAAGATCATTGATCCTGTTGGCCTCAGCTCTGTTTGAATAATGAGCGTTGGTAAACTCTATTCGACAAGGAAGTTTTTGTCAACTTTCACTCCTTCTGATAATTTCTTGCTTTGTTTAAATTGAAATCACCTTTCTGTTTTTTTAGAAGTCATGATTTGCACAACACTTGAATAAATGTAAATACCCTGCACTGAGGTAATGTATGTAATAAAGAAAGTTCGCAGAAAGTTTGTTGTCGCCTCACAACAGCTGAATGGAAAGTCCGTTGTTCGCAGCCAGTCTGTTGCTCGAGTCGTAATGGCCAAACAGAAAGTCTGTTGTTCGCAGCGTCTGTTATTCAAGGCATACATTATATGAGACACCACTGTATCTGGAAATGTATAACAGCAAAAGATGTGAATAGAATTTAATTAATCATACTATAAATGAAAAAAAAAAATACTTGAAAGATAAGAGTATAGGCTCCACCTGAAATCAAAACAATTTTCTTTCTGATTTTAATTTCTTTCTTTATGTAGTAAAGCTATGGTCTATACAGTACATTACAGGGTTGGCCAAACCTTGTGACAATAGGAGCCTACATTGCCTATCAGAAATATGCAAAAGCTACATTCTGTATTGGAACAGTATAAAACACTGTTCTAATACAGGATGCATCTCTCTCAATATATGTCTCCAATTTTACCTGTATATAGTTAAAATACTATAGCTATTACTGTTCTATAATAAATATATTGTTACTTTACTGATACTTTATGACTGGCCAGGTAAACATTCATTTAGCTCTTTTGACTTAGCTTTAAATTGCCTGTTCAAGGTTAAGTTAAAATTTATGCTTACAATTGATATGTGTATCACACTGCACAACAGTCAGCAAGCTCACAAAAATATTATATGTGTTAGTAGTATGTACCATGCTTATAAAAAGAAATTGCATTAATATATGGGAGTCACAGTAAGGGTCTACAAGAGAGGCAGTTTGGCCATTGTGGATTTATTGAATTTATATTTTAATTGTAACTCTTTTTATTTCAAAAATACATTTATTGTATTTTTGAAATAACAAGATCCAAAATCAAGAATTTTCAAAATAGCAAACTTTTGTGAATTTTATGCATAAAGATGTTATACATGCACATATAGTGAAAAATAATTTGATCACAAAAAATTATAATCAGTAGTTAAAGTGGAATTTTTGTAGCTTTTCTAAAAAACTACTAATAGAAGAACTATTCCATTTATAAAGAGTGCATTGAATGCAAATGTTGTTAAAATGAGGCAAATAATTTTAGATTTTTTTCTAATAAAAGTGTTTCTTTTATGATTGATTTTCAGAATAAATTTTCACTGTATTATTTCATACTAAAAATACTACTGTAATTTATTTGTTTTCTTTTTCTTCATCCCTCCTCAAGTTAAAGTTAATCTTGAGAATCAAAAAATCCATGACATCCAAATCCCCAAGCAGTCAGGATTTTCAATCCTTACTGTATAAAAACTTTTCACATTTTATTCATTAACATATTCTAGTCTCAAATTATTTTCTTCTGACTGATTTATAACAGAAAATTAGATATTTTTATGTTATTAATTAAATTATTATTAATATAAGAAATAGCTATGATCATACAGAATTTTTTATTCTAAGAAAACATTTAAATAGTTAAATGTTTTCTTAGAATTCTTCTAATTTAAATTACATTTGACATGCAATTAAAATTTAACATTTCTTTGTAATGAGTGTTTTGTAAACTAGCTTATATAATTTAAATGAACTGTATGTAACATTGTTTATGTACTATATGTGTGAATTTATATACCTTGAAATGATTCTCTTTTCTATTAAGCAAGACGATTTCAGACATTTCAGCTGTAATTTTCTCAGCAATTTGCATATAATTATTTGAAATCAATTTTTTATCACCTGGAAAATCTGCTTTTATTTGTTTTGATTTTTCATCTACTTGTTCAATCAAATTCTTCAATTCTGTAACAGAAGTCAAGATAATTACTGTTTATTGTATTAATCTTGAAGAATAAATTAATTTTTTTCTTTTATATAATTTTTTTTTATTTGTAACTGAATTTCTTGTTGATTGTCAATCAACAAGAAATTTTTGTAACAAACTTTTTCTTTTTAGTTTTTTTATGGACTTATTTCTGATAACTGAAATACAAATTATTGGGCTGCAATTTGAAAAAATTGTAGACCTATAAATTCCCACTTTTGTCTGTCTGTCTTTCCTTAATCTCAAGAATGGAGTTAGATAGATGAAAGCCAAGACCAGATGTGGAAAGATTAGGGGCAGAAGACGCCAATTAACTATATACAAACTTCCACTGAAAAGAGTTATACAGATGATTGGCATGACTATATTTCTAACAGAAAAGTACAAAACACTACTAATTTGAAGTTGAGAGCATAAATTTTAAATTAAAATTATTATTAAAATTGCAGCCAGGCATAATGAGCAATTATTTAATCATTAAAATCACTGAAAGTAAGAACTGTCTGCAATATTAAATAATATAAATATTTCTTTATTTTACTGTATTTAAATCAATTTTAAATTTTATTTAAAAGGATTGCTTCTTATTGAAATTCTGTAGATAAATGTCTGGCAGTTACTTTTTATCATTTTATAAATCTTTGTTGGAAAAATCTTCTATTTAATTACTTTTTCCTGTAAATAAAATTTCTTCTATTTATCTTTCAAAACGAAATTTTTGTATAATAGTTTCTTAAGAATTTGATAAAAATATTCTTGTTGAAATATTTGTTGTATGAACCATGAAGAACAATTAAATCTACTACATTTTGCTGAATCTTCTTCAACTGAATACATCTTTCTTTCTAATTGATGATCTTCATTTGAATATTTTTATTTCTTGAATTTATTGTTGAATATGATTTAATCATTTCCTTACCATTTCTTCAAAGAATATTGTTAAACAATGCATGCTTCCTTTCCTATTGAAAATCAACCTTCTTTATGTTCTCCATGCTCAGTTATATTAATAAGAAAACAGTATATGCTGTTCATATTTTTATTTATTTATTTTAGACAACCAACATTTTTGACTCGTTGAAAAAACCATTCTTCTACTTTTCCTCAGTAGATATATAATACATTTTTGAATAAAATTTTTCAAATTTATTTTGGAAATAAAATTTATCATTTGCCTATTTTGGGTTAAAAAATATTGATCTTGTTAAAAATTCATTTTAATAGGTACTTTTCTCAATATTTTTGTTTTTCATTAAATTTTTAATTGATTTTAATATGTGCTTTCATTAAACTATTTGACTATTTTTGAATCTGAAAAAATGTTTGTAGTTTTTATCTGATATGATAATTCTATCATATCAGATAAAAAATATTTTCCTTGTGCTGCAAACTTATTTAAATTTTCTTCTATATAGTTAATTATTTATTTCAAAGTTATTTGAAAAGTTCATTTTAGGAACATCAATTACCTGAAATTCTCTTTATTTTCTTATTTCATACCAAGAGATTTGTTTTCTGTTTTAGATGGACAAGTGAATATGCTTTCTGCTCCAAAATTCTTTCCTTCATTTGATTTTACATGTCTTTCTTTCATTAAAATGCTTTGGTAAAGTTTTTATTTCAAAATTTAAATGAAGATCAGTTTCTGGTAATTTGGTTTCTTAGCTTACACATACTTTATATTTTATTCATCAAGTAATAAAAATTTTGCTACTGAATTTGCATTTCCTTTACTTTTACATTTTTATCAGACAAATTCTCATGATAAAGATTCTTAATAAATGGATATATCTTCATTTATAAATATAATTTTTTCTTTAAATCATTTTAAAAAGTTCAATTTTATTANGCTATGTAATTTTAGATTGCTTGCTTCTAGTTAAAAGATCTTTATAAATTTCCTTATATGGTGCTAAGCACTTATGGAATAAGAGAAAAACATCTGGCAACACCAGAAGCAGAAGCGTCGAGATCTGGCAACATTGAAACAAGTTTCGCAAAGGACCATGTGTATGGAGACGAGAAAAGAAAATTTACACACTGAAGTACTAATAGCTCACGAAAATAATAATTTTCGTGAACTATTAGTACTTAAGTATGTAAAAATTTATTACATTTCATGTTGTACGAGGGTTTTACCCATTTCTCGAACTGTGTCAGAGTGAATCCGTGCTATAAAAGTACCGTGTTATACGGGGGATGGTACCAATTCTGGAACCATGTTAGAGTGAATCCGTACTATAGAAGTGCCATGTTATATGGGGGTTACCTGTACATGTTTTACTATTGGACTACTTTTAAAAATATCACTTTTAATTTAAATCCAACAGATTATTACTTTTACTTCAAAAAATCCTGTCTGTTCACATAATGTTGGTTTCTTCATTTAAAATCAAATGTCTTATGCATAGAACATTATTTTGAAAGGAAAGTGTATCATTGTAATTTATACCAATTAAATACAAATTTTGCAAAAATAATTTTGTTTAATTTTTTTCTTATTTGTATAACAACTATCTCTGTATTATACATTAACTGTATATTAATAAAATTGAATTCAGTAATTTTCTAAGAATTTTTAGAGTTGTAGGAAATTAATGAATTTAATTTTCAAAATTCTGAACTGTACATTAATAGAAGAATTAAACAGGATTCTAACAAAAAACTGTTTGGTTTTATCTGTCTCCATTTTCGAGAATTTTTGGTAAAGGATCTTCCCATAGAAGAAGCATTAAATTTTTAATGCCATCTAATGGAGCTTGCATGCATAACCAAAAAGGTTATAATCAGCCTTAACTACTTAAAATTTTGTTAATCAATGATGAAACTGGTATTTACTTCTTCAATTTGTAATTTGTCACTTTATATTTTTATAAAATAGATATTTTTCTTTTATATATTCTTTCATTAATATAATTTTTTGCAGATAAAAATTTTTTTGGATTATCTATTTTTCTTTTTCTGTCTTAATTATATCAAGTAATAACCACTTTCTGTTCTAGTAGTTATTAATCATGTGCATGAAACAGTTGTTATGCACTTTTCTTTTGCTTCTTCTACTCTAGATATTTTTTATTGAAAACTGTTTGCTTATATTCATTCAATCTCTGATTTGAGATAATCTTTGATTCTAAACTCACTTTTCATTTACATATTAAAAAAATTATTAAAGGATTGGCAATTCATCTCTTGATAATGTTAGTCTTTTTGTCCCTGGTAATAATACACATAATAAATCACGTATTTCTTTTAAAAACTGTTGATTAGATATAACTCAATGCCCTTTCTTGTGTCCTCAGATCTTTATTTTAAAAAGGACATGTAAAGATTCAATGTAACCGTGCTGATTGATTTCTTTCTATTCATTCTTGACTGTTTTTATTGTATTCTATGTTTTCTTTCATGTGTATTATATATATTTACATACATATATTTATTTGTTTGTATTTCCATATAGTTATATATATATATATATATAACTATGTATACATCATCGTCATTTGTCCTGTGTGAAGCACATTGGGCAGCAAGTTCCTTCCAGTGAATGTGGTCATTTGCAATGGCCTCAGCATGAGATGTTAATAATTTTTAAATTCTCCTTAAACCATTTGACATCAAGTTTTTTGAGGTGGCCTTGCTTCCTTTTCCACCAGATGGTATCTACTGTAATAGTTTTTGGATGTCAATGGTTTAGCACATGCAGTATATGCCTGGAAAAATGCATCCAGCATTCAGTCAATTGCAAACAGATATTTTGAGTGTTTTTTAAATTTCTTCATTTGTGACACAATCTCAATGAGACACCAAGGATCTTACACAGTGCTGTTGAAAAGCATTTAGCTGTTTAATCACCTTGGCTGTAAAGTTCCAAATTTCATAGGCATATATTGCAATTAGTATAACAGTACTCTTGAATTGTTTAAATCTTCATAGGAAAATGTATAGCTGTTGTCAACCAAATTGATAGCATACATTGGAAAATGGTTGATGTCATTCCAATTCTACAATTAATATCTTCATCTGTACCACCATTGGTAGCCACAACACTTCCAAGACAAGTAAACTGTTGCAATTGGTCTATAGCCTAACCATGGGCTGTTAAAGACTTATAATCTGGGTTCTTCCAATCTGCATGAACTTTCTTTGTTTTTTCAATACTTATATGTGAGCTTATCTTACTTTTAAACTAGTGGTTATCTCTTGTAGACACACCCATATCACTAAGCAATGCAATATCATCTGCAAAATCTAAATCTGTAAGATGAGCTATATATAATATATACAAGTTTTTCTTTCATGTCATTTTATTGCAATGTATTGTATATTAATCAATTGATTTTATATTGTATTTTTATCTTTTGCTTTTCAAAGTATATATTTTGGTTGTTTTATATATGTTTCAATTGTTTTTCATGCATGGCATTTTCCTTCTTGTTATTTTTTGCTTTTATTTAAGGATCTATTATCAGGGATGGTTCTTTCTTGTCCATTGGACATTACTTGTATTAATTAAATAAAATAAATATATATTAAGATTTTTTAATTTACAGCTTTATACAATTCTTGTTTATTATTTTGAATATTTGTATTTGATAGATTTTTTTCATCATAATTTGTTTTCACTGGAGTAAACTAAACATTAGTCTGGGTGATAAACTTTTTAATTTTAATTTAATTAAAGATTTTAGTCTATGAAGAATAATAATCAGACCTTTTTTAAATTTGAAATATTTTTCTTTATTAACAAATCATTTTTCATATGTTTCCCTATTATTTTTAGAAACTAGAAACTTTTTTTCATATTTCTGTAACATATATTCAAAAATTGTTATCTGAATTTTAAAATAAATAGGAGTTTTAATCCTTGTTTTGATCTACATCTGGAATTTTTCCAGAATTAGTTTTTTTATCTTGCAAGTTTTCTGTTAAAATGATTTATGTCAAATATTTAATTCTTTCTGTCTAATATAATTTAGTACTTTAGAAAATATAATAATGCTGATCATTTTGTGAATAGTTTAATTTGCTTTTATTTTCTTTGTTTTCAAATTCAATTTCCTAATTGATATGTTTATGAATAATTTAAATTTTGTCTTTACATTTGCATTTCTTGTATTCTTTCATTTTTTAAAATTATGCAAAACTATTCTTTACAAGATCTTTTCCTTTGTATCCAAAACATGATTTTATTTTTTAAAAAATCTTTTTATATATAATTTTTTTCCTGAAACTGAAATTACTTTTTATACATTCTGCTTGAATAACTTCTGAAAATTAGTTGATACATTTCTTATTAAATTATTCTACAGAAAAAATTATAGCTAATTAATAATCTTTTATCTATTTGTTTCATATTAAATATTATTTGAATAGTTTCATAGTAAATTTTGTTTGAATTATTTTATATTTAAAGTAAATATTTTATATACTCTTTAAAATATCCATTATACTCACTTTTTTCATCTTCTGTTTGAATTTCATTCTTTTCCACATTATTGTTTTCAATAACTTCATAATACATTAATTGTTTAAGGACTGAATTTTCATTTGAAGTACTAAGATTACTTAGAAGACTAAATTCTATTTCTTGATTATTCTGATCATTTAGAAGATCAGTTTTCTCATTTTTAACATCAACAAAGTTAGATGTTTGTTTTTCCTTGTCAGAATCATCTACGAATAGTTCTTTTTTCATATCTTCTTGCACTATTCCTGTATTTCTATCTAAATTGCTTTTATATGTTATAAGTTTTTTATATCTTTTTAACAAATTTTCATATTCTGTTTTGTCTTCGCTGAGGCCAGAAGAATTTGTTGATTCATTGTGGAAAGAAAACTGTGGTTTTCCATGAAGTTCTGGGAGAGAGTAATAACTAGTGTTTGAAGAAAATGATGGATAAAGAGAGTCTGATTTAGAGTTGTTATCAATAATATCGTTTTCATTATCTTCCGTAATAGGTTTGTTATTTGTCTGAGTACCAAAATTACGATATTTGAATCTGGCTTCTGGTTTTGTTTCTTCTATTGATGAACTAAAAAATATAAATGAGTAATGTTAAAAGATATTAACTAAGGATTAATTTACAAGCATATAATATTTTGTAACATGCTTTACAAAGTAAAATAAAATAATTATTTAATGAAATATATATATATATATATATAACTATGTATACATCATCGTCATTTGTCCTGTGTGAAGCACATTGGGCAGCAAGTTCCTTCCAGTGAATGTGGTCATTTGCAATGGCCTCAGCATGAGATGTTAATAATTTTTAAATTCTCCTTAAACCATTTGACATCAAGTTTTTTGAGGTGGCCTTGCTTCCTTTTCCACCAGATGGTATCTACTGTAATAGTTTTTGGATGTCAATGGTTTAGCACATGCAGTATATGCCTGGAAAAATGCATCCAGCATTCAGTCAATTGCAAACAGATATTTTGAGTGTTTTTTAAATTTCTTCATTTGTGACACAATCTCAATGAGACACCAAGGATCTTACACAGTGCTGTTGAAAAGCATTTAGCTGTTTAATCACCTTGGCTGTAAAGTTCCAAATTTCATAGGCATATATTGCAATTAGTATAACAGTACTCTTGAATTGTTTAAATCTTCATAGGAAAATGTATAGCTGTTGTCAACCAAATTGATAGCATACATTGGAAAATGGTTGATGTCATTCCAATTCTACAATTAATATCTTCATCTGTACCACCATTGGTAGCCACAACACTTCCAAGACAAGTAAACTGTTGCAATTGGTCTATAGCCTAACCATGGGCTGTTAAAGACTTATAATCTGGGTTCTTCCAATCTGCATGAACTTTCTTTGTTTTTTCAATACTTATATGTGAGCTTATCTTACTTTTAAACTAGTGGTTATCTCTTGTAGACACACCCATATCACTAAGCAATGCAATATCATCTGCAAAATCTAAATCTGTAAGATGAGCTATATATAATATATACAAGTTTTTCTTTCATGTCATTTTATTGCAATGTATTGTATATTAATCAATTGATTTTATATTGTATTTTTATCTTTTGCTTTTCAAAGTATATATTTTGGTTGTTTTATATATGTTTCAATTGTTTTTCATGCATGGCATTTTCCTTCTTGTTATTTTTTGCTTTTATTTAAGGATCTATTATCAGGGATGGTTCTTTCTTGTCCATTGGACATTACTTGTATTAATTAAATAAAATAAATNTATATACAGTAGAGCATCGATTATCCGACTCAATTGGGAACTCGGGTTGGTCGGATAACTGAAAAAATCGGATAACCGAAAAGAATGAAAAAAATACATTATTAGTGTAGTATATTAGTATATCCCATGTAATTAGTACATTAGTATTTTGCTATTAAGCTACTTCGCGTTGAATTTTCATCCATGTTAAGCCTAACAAGATTTTTTTTAAAAATAATAATCGTTGCTATTGTATCATTAAAAATTATTTTATTGCTCACAAAACAAACAACCACTCATAATTAGAAAATTAAGTCTTGTTTAAATACTGGCCTCCCTTTCATGGTTGAGCCAATGTTGCCAGCTAAAACACACAAAAATTAACAACAATAATATTAAAGTAGTCAAGACATAGCCAAATATTGTAGCACCACATTACTAGCGGACATTTGAAATTTGCCGACTAGAACGGTCGGTTAACCGATGTGACGGTTAATCGGGGGTCGGATAATCGATGCTCTACTGTATATATATATATATGTTAGGCTTCAAAGACCAAAAATGCTCATTGAGTGAAAAATATGTCCACAACACATTGTGATTACTTTAAATCATCCACAACATGTTGTGGCACTTGTAAAAACAGCCATAATGCATTGTGACTAGCTCAAAAAGACCACAAAGTGAAATTTGCATAGTGGCTTTCGTGATATTTGACCACTACGTGTTGAAGAAGTGATTAAGAAAAGCCATAACATGTTCTGAACATTAGCTGATGCAACCACAATAGAGGGTGATATGACGACAGTGATTTCTAACTTTAAAATATGGGTTCTAGCCTCAAAACATTTTTATTTACAATTTTTGATGCTGAACAACATTAGTTCTACAAGTTTTCCTATAAATTTAATTTTCATACTTAAAAATTTTCAAAGAAATAAAATGTATGGAGAAAAACACACATTTGGTTTTTTTTGTTTTGCTTAAAAGTGCTAAAGGTCAAATTACATGTTCTAGTAGGTGCTTGATGTATTCTACACGATGACATAAAAATCAGCTGCTAAAGTTAAAAACTATTGTGCGACAGCTTTATTATGGTTAAAAGCCACCACAAGTTCTGGATGTCAACTAATAACAAGGTGATGATAAAAAAATAAAACTTTTTATTTCATTATGATTTATTTATCTTCAATTATCTTATGTTAAGTGTTCTTTGAGCAACATTTGCATTTTTATCAATACAGTATCTTTTACAGTGACATATTATAAACCCTTGCTTACTTCCAGATGTTAACATGGATGCTGAGTAAAGTGTTAATGAAGTTGAGGGTATGTTCTAAATGTTAATAAAGTTACTCTCAGAAAGTGTAAATTCATTGCGAGCATAAAGTTGATCAAGAAGACCTTACTTGTTTCCTAACTGATGGAGACCTGATGGATTAATGCTCATAACAACAGCTAAAACATTTCTGGGAGCTGCACATTCCCTATTAACATCAGGCACCCTAACTAAAGCATTTGAACCAATTTCAATTGCAGGAAATTTTGAGTTGGATAGTGAAATAATTTTATGGCATGCCTGTTTCTCTAGGCTGGATTTGGCATATTCTCTCTTAGCATTGATGCTGTTCTTTCTTAAACAGAGCTAGCAACCAAATCCCTCATTCTCATTGCTTTCTCCACACATATTCATGACACTCTGAACACTGGTGAGCTCCTGAGGTTTATTTCACTTTGTGGTCTTTTTGAGTTAGCCACAATGCATTGTGGACGTTTTTTTTTCGCTCAATGAGGGTTTTTGGTCTTTGAGCCTAAAACACACACACACACACACACACACACAGAGTGTATCATTTAAAAGTGGTCCCAACCATAGAATGAAGAAACATGCTTACATATTCAGGTTTATAGGAGATGTTGAAAGTGTAAATTGTCAATACGAATGCAGACATTTCTGGTGATCAGGTGATTCACTTGTTTCACACATTATTTTATATAGATACAGTTTGAGTCTATGATGAATAAGAAGGTGGCAGTATAGAAAAACACGACAACTGATATAATGATGGAAGTGCATGTAATGATGACAAGAAGTCTGAGAAAATCACTGCATAGACTCATCACAGGAAAATGTATCCTTGCATACAGCACAATATGAGGTCTGAACTGAAACTGTACCCATAAAAAATGATGTGTGGAACAACTGAAGATCCATGATCACCAGTAATGTGTGTAGTTCTAAATGTGCAATTGTGTTGACAGTTGTCACTTTCAGCACCACCTGTAAACGTGAGTGGGTAATCCAGTTTGTTCATTCTCTGGTTAGGGCCACTTTTGAATGATATACCCTGTATTTCCTAATGATTATTATTTTAAGTTAAAATTTTGTATGATTAAAATAAAAATTACATTAACAACAAATATGTTTAAATTTGAAGTTTGTTCAACTTCATATTTTGCTTATTAGAATACAGGTAACCCCCGTATAACACTGTAGTTATGTTCCAAAAAATTGCCGTGTTATGCGAATCCGTGTTATGTGAATCAAAGAACTAGTACGAAAAGGAGGGTTAGGTTCCAAAAATTAAAAAACATGCTACTATATTTTCATAATTAAGTTAAATATCTTTATTAAAATTTTCTTAAGTGATACATATTAATATAAATTAAACAATGTTTTCTTTGTCATCACTAAAAGCACTATTAACCGAGAGCGTTTTATTTTTGGCAAGTTATCGTTATCCTCTGAGCATTTTTCTGCATTAT